AATATTTTCATTTTCATACCAAAAATACCGATATCTTCAACAATAGAGATCAAACACTATAGTGTACTGTATATGAGTGCCATTAGGAGTGCATCAAAAAATATCTCAAATAGTTTTCTTTTCTCTCTCTCTCTCTCTCTTTGTCATAGTAATTGCATGAATGCATGAACTATTATATAATATTAGGACAATGCATGACTGCTACATACGTTTAATTAGCATATATAATATAAATTATTTCCTTTAATTAACAATTATATTTCGATAAAATAAAAGACATGTTACAAATTCATGACATTATGGTTTACTTTACACAACAAATTGTTTTATTTGTTTTAAGTTGTTTTCATTGAAATTTTAAAAAGTAAAATTAGTAATTATATAAATTATGAAAAAATTGATTAAAATTTATTTGTCCAGAAAATATTATACACAGATTATAATGAATAGTTTTGAAACCCCATTGAGAGATGACTTAACTCTCTAAACAAGTAATAATCTTAAATTATATATTCTCTATGAAAGTAATGGTATATAAATATTTATTATTAGTAATATTTATTAATGTGTCATTTTTATTTATATCTCACTATAAATTTGTCAAATTATAGGTATTAAGTTAATGATTATAAATATTTGTTCAATATATCCGTCAATATGTTAAATATTTAATTATTACAATAATTATTATTTTTATACAAGTTTTTGTAGTTTCAAATTGAATAAATTTACACCAAAAACACTATATGCGACAGAATTTCCTTTGCTCTCTAATTACATGTAATATAATATAGTATTTTTGTGTAAAATTTAATGTTTTATAGATTTAATCATTATTCGAGCGAGATTTAAACGAGATTCACAGCCAAAACTAATGACAATTTTTGTATTGTATTGCCAGTCATATGAGAGTTATTATGCAAAAAGTGATTCATGTAATGTATAAGAGCTCATATATGTAGCACATAATGGCCAGGAATGAGCGACTTCTGCACAGAATATAACACACAATGCTTTTGATCAATGAATGAATGCATTGAAACCAATGCTCACTAACACAGACACTGGCAAAGAGCAGTCCTTCTCAACCCATCATTTCATTGTCTGTCTGTATCTTACTTTCTATTATATAACTCTCGCATTCACTTAATGTTATCTATTCTCAGATGAATCAAAACAAACAAAGAAGAATAGACTTGAGGACCAGTTTTGATACATTCTATCAATTTTTTCAGTCGTTTTCATTTTATGCGATAATTTTGTTTAAGAATTTCAAATGAAATATTCATAAATCTTTCAACAAATACACTGTCAATGTATGGCTCGATCTTTACAATTTGTAACACAAATAATGACTTTTTGTTGAATTAAATTTGTTTTACAAATGCGAGCGATTTATAACAGTATTTATTACCAAAATATATTGTTTCGATTACTATTTAAATAGATTAAGTAATTTATACAATAAATTAAATAGTAATATAGTATATAGTATTATATTGACCACACAATAAATTGGGATTATAATCTTCAGAATCCTGGTTGTGCAAATTAGGTGCATTTTTAACCACAATTCATTTATGAAGAATGTGGTTTATAGAATCGTGGCTATACCATTTATTTAAATAAATTAAAATATTAAACAATAGTTTATATTTAAAACCAAATTGGTATAAAAACACAACAAAAACTTAAATATTGATTGCTTTCACACTTTTATAGCAAATATAGACGACTTGAGGTTTTGAGAAACTCTGCGTTTTATTAAAAATCATTTGAAGGGTAAACAAAAAGTTTTGACAAAATTTTGGTCATAAAATGTAATGATATTTGACTGAAGACGGAGAGGAAGGCTGTATTTGTTGGAAGAGGAGAGTAATGGCAGAGCTATTACTCAAATATATGTGTGTTCTGTAGAGTAATTCAGTAATTGAGTTAATGATCCGTTATTTCTAAAGACCCAAAAACTCTGCCCTATATTTTCAGTCAAAGAATATTCTTGTACTTAAACTTCATATTTATTTTTCTGGATTCACGCATTTATTTGATATGTTACATAACTTATATATGTATGCATTTGGCCAACAGTTCCGCCACACTGGAGCCTCGCTATCTCCCGCCCGATCTCTCGGACCGGCACTAATCAAAGGCATTTGGCACTACCATTGGGTATGCAATCTATATTGAAACCATACAAACGATGGCTTCAATAAAGTAAATGTTAATCAATTATGTTTTTGTTTGTGTTTGTGTACAACAGATCTATTGGGTCGCACCTCTCATCTCAGGGATGTTAAGCGGCTTTACCTACGAATACATCCGAAGCACATCTTCTAATGAGTGTCAGTCTCTGAAGCGATCGTTTAGACGCCGAACCTCTCAGGGAGTGAAAAGAGATCAGAGCTCTAATCTCAGTAATTATGAAACAGAATTCACCATCACTTCCACTGAATGTCCCCGATATTGACAGCCCATGTCATTCATTATTCAAGTAATACTTTTGCCAAATGTTTGCTACTTTTGGTTTGACTACCATTTAATCGATCGTTAAGTTGATCTACAATTTGAGTGAAATGTCAACAAATTATATTAATTTGTTTATACAAACCGTATAATTGTTAGGTTTTACTATTATATATATTTCATATTATATGTGAATAGAAAGTGTTATTTCGTTAAACAATTTGTTTGCTCATTGAAAATATGTATTTTTGAATGCATTTTACATCAAACATGTATTTCATCCAAATATCACTTAACGATACATTTAAAGCTAAAAATGTTTAAAATATAAATTCATTTTAAATTAAAATTTAATATTTTCAAAAATTGTAATATTATTCAAACGAAAAGTTTGTTTTTTTATTTTAGAATTGAGTTTTTATTCCTAAAACAATAACTATAAAATTGAAATTCAGATTATTGATTAAATTTGTATTTTTGAATAAATCTTTGTTCATAATTATCAGACATGAGTTAAGTTTAGAGTTAATGTCGTATAAATGTCTAATACTTGAATCTGTATTCAATATTAATAATCTGTAAATAAAATGAAAATGCAATTAAGTTACTGTTATTCCGTATTATTATATTATAAGGACTTAAGTCTTACACAAATTCACAAGAATTGAGGAGAAAAGGAAAGAGTCATGAGATTATGTTAGATCTTCTTAAGTCGGATCTAATGTTGAGATATTGTTATTTGGGTCAGAGATAGAGCGCTTGTATGAGAGGGAGAGACACAATATAGTAACTCATTTGGAAAGTTGTGTTTTGAGGACTTTGAAGGCTGAGTCCATTCTGGTGTCGGTTCTGACGATTCACGCCATCGATCCCAATGTCAGAAGGAGTCGGAGATAAAGTAAATTCATGGCATCCTTTCCACCACTTTTACATTTACACATGGATTATAAGATTTATGGCTCACATCAGGTCTCAGTTTCTATGACTTCTGTTTGGCTCAGAACTGAGTTTTCTTTCTTTAGCGAGACTTTCAGTAAATTTTGTTTCTCTTGACTTTTCAACGATATTTCTTAACATTTCTATCAAACATTGCTTACAATTACGAGACCTAAAGGCGTCCTTTTATTACATAATATTACTCTTGAACTGCAGTATCTTTTTTGTCACTAAAGCCTAATTCTGCTTCTCTTTGACCGCAAAACGAAAAAATAATTGGATATTGATTTCAAGACATACAGACATACAGTACCGCAACACGTCTTATAGCACACAACACAACAATTTAGCCAATTTTGGATCAACACAATCACCAAAGAATAGCTCTCAATATGTTATATAACTATTGCTAATTCCACTCCAATTATTATATTCTCTTTCCCTTTCATTCATTTATTTATAGTCTGTTTATTACATATAAAATGATTATATTTACCATTTCTCTACTCTAGCTAATTAAAGCTTCAAATTAGCATTTTAATGCACTATTTAATGAATTTACATATAAGTCTGTAGACGTCAATTTATTGTTTCGTGAAAATTACTTAAATACTTTTAATTTAAATTATATTTGGCCTCAATTATAGAAAGTTTGTATTTTATTGAGTAAATCATAAAAGTAAATGAAAAATCATTTCATATTCTTAAAGAAAACTAGAAATAAGATTGAAATGTATGAAAGACACGAATCAAGTCTTTACTCCTACTCCTAGTCAGAACTCAAATCATTAAAATCTGTATTTTATTATTATATTTAAATTAAGTGGAAAATAGAGATCATAATAAATGCAAGGAATGGATGGTTGTATGGTATGAATAAAACACAGAAAGCATATGTAATTTTTTAGTAAGCAGTCAACGTCAATATTACGTTTAATTTTACACTTTATGAAAAAGTCGTTTAATACAGTTAAAAGTACTTAAAATTTAAGACTTATTTAAGAGTTTTTATTCACATTTCAAGGCTTTATATGAATAGTATTTATACTTCACAAACAGATATCCTTTTGATTGCCAGTAATTTACTATTTAAATAATAATTAACATTAAAAGTATAGCAAAGTTTGGATTCATTTATAATAATATAAAGCATTACTTGAATGTTTATAACTTTAATTACATAATAAAATTCTATTTTTGTTTTTAGAGTTTTGGAAAATAAGTTTTAGATTTTACATAAATTTGAAATTTTCTTTCATTTTTGGAAAAATAAGTACATAAAACGATTATCGTGTTGGAATACATGAATGATATAAAATCGTTAGTGTTTTAGTTTTAACAATGGCTTCACTCAATGTTTAAATCATTGCAAAATTTTCAGCAAAACTTAATTTGTTTTAATAACTTTGTTATATAATTCTGGAAATTATATTATAAAAATATAATCAATTAATAGATTTAGTGATCAAGTAATACAACAATTCTTAATATTTAAACATCTTTAATATTATTTTCAAACCTTATATTAAAACTTCTTTATTAACTCAAAAAATTTTAGTCATTAGGTTTTAATGTTTAATTTAATAAAATAAATATAATCAATCAACATGTTATATATTAATCAATAATATTTAATGTAAAACTTTAAGTTAATATTATTCTAGTGATTATTAGAGCTCGAAAAGTTCGGGAATTCCCGAATAACATTAGATAATCGAATCGTCGGGAATAACGTCCAGTTAGTCTTAGAGGTAATAATAGAGTAAAAATAAACAACTTTTATTTTCCCGAATATTCCCGATTTTGGCATATTTTGAGAAAATTCCCGATTTTGGCAGATTTTGAGAAAATTCCCGATTTTGATAAATTTTTACTATAAATAATCCCGAAAACAAATTTCTTAAAAATAAATAAATTTATTTTATTAGTTTTCACCAAAAATCAATCAACAACAAGGTTATGGCGGCGGTGGAGATGGGGGTGGATTAGAAGGATTAGGAGGTATATAAGAATATAGATTATGTAGAAAATGGGATATTATTTAATAAATAAATGTTATAACAGAAGGTCTGGACGGCGGCGGACAGGACTACGGCGGAGGACAAGACATTGGATTAGACGGTGACTACGGAGGCGGTGAAGGCGGTGGCGATGGTTTGAAGAAATAATTATAAAATCGTGAGTTTTATATTAAATAAAATGTTGAATATTTCCAAAATAAATAATAATAATCAGAGCGTAAAATGGATTCAAGGATTTAATTGAGATTTTGAGAAATATTGTCAAAAATGTTGTCAAAATTTGAGTTCAAGTTTGAATTAAATGCTTATTTTGATTACAGAACTGCGAATCAAAGGCCAAATAAGTTATTCATAGACAGCATTCAAAGACATTCAAATACATTGACAACCGATTGACTTCTTGCTAAACACCGATTGATTGTATATAAAACGGACGGACTTTTCATTCTTACGATACGATTCCTAACATAACTATTATTCATATAATTTAATATCTATTATTAATATTTTATTGTTTTTAATAATGTATAATAATATTATAATAATCATGTTTTTAAGTATTATATTATAATTGATTTTTCTAATAATTAATAAATTCTTACATCCATTGTTAATTTAATAAAAGCATTTATTTTTATAATTATATCAAATTTCAAATTAATTAATAGCCAAATGAACTCTTGTTTAGTTTAATATCTTATAATTATTAATAATAAGAGATTAATAAATATAAGTTTTACTTTACTATAAAACGATGGCTTTTATTTAGAATTAAAAAATGTTTGGATTAAATACCGATAATTATGTCATTGCTATACGAGAAGTGGGGACAGAATGGTTCTGTAGGGTGTGTAACATTAATGTAATAGATTGTATACAATAGCTCATTAATATTAGTAATATTTACTTGTTAGTACTAGTAATAAGTCACTATTAATATGTTATAAACTACTTCTGCCTTTCAAATGAACAAATTTATATAAAGCATTAAATTATTATTATAATATCCAAAATTTAATATTAAAGCGTTTCTTTGTATCTTAATTTGAATTGTAATTATAATATTTCCCATTAAGTTATTACCCGAGAATTCAAATTAAAAAAGGGAAAGTTTTGTGCAAATTGTTGGAAATTTTTGCTGAAAATCAAGTCTTTATAATTTATAAATAACTTTTGCAAAAATAATGGTTTTTAAAAAATGTTAAGGATAAAAGACACACCTATTAATGTCATATTATTGTCCAAACTTTCCCCACTCTATGTTTAGGAAACATTTGTCAAAAACAGGTGTCATTCAATCGGTCAGCCCTTACATTGTTTGGCGTTTTAATGTTTAAAACCGGAAAAAATGTCAAAGATTTCAATTACTTTGACAATAGAAATAACTCTAAATTTAAAGCAAAATATTTGATTTGACTACCAAATATATGTATTATAATTAGTTATATTTTACGGTATTATATTAAAAATGAATATAATATAAATATATCCGATATATTATCTATGTAAATTTAATGCATATTTAATTATTAAATTGATTATAATGTATTTGCTAGTTGGTTTAATATAATTTGTATTCACTTGAGATCAATGGGTAATCTTTCTTTTGGTATATTTTACTGTATTTTTAGCACAAAAATTGTGAACAATTTTCAGTTGAAATTTAATTTATCCTTCAATTCAAAAAACTGAACAAAAGGAATGAAATGGAAGTAAATTATAGACTGAAACCATAT